ACACATGTGTCTTTGCATAGCTTCACCCAACGAGCCATTTCCGTTTTCTCTCCCCCTCCTGGTTGCTTTTTGCACACTAGTAGAAAAAACAAGCTCCATGCTGTTACCAGCAAGCTAAAGTCTGATTTGTTAGTGTCACACTCTACATGCTGAATGTCTGTAAAGTGTAAATGTGTGGTTTTGAATATCAGACAGTTCAGTAAAACGAGTTTACCTGCTTATTAATAGATCCACACCGCAGCCTGTTAACGCCACGCTGATCAATTACCCGTATCGGACACTGACACACGTGCATTTCCTCAGAAAATTACCAACCTTCAGTCAAAATGAAACAACAAATCATAGCCGACTGCTTTCGCACCTCAGCGTAATTTGAAAATCTTTAAAAGCAGAGTCACAGAAATGCTGGGAGTATAAAACTGCTGAAACTGTCTCTAGTTGCTGCTCGTACATTTTTGTATTCTTCCTACTTTCAGGTCATTTTGAGCTGTTGTTTACAGGATGACACTGAGAAAACATTCACCTCAGCAAGTCACGCTATCTCGCGCTGACTCTAATTACAGCAAATCGTTCACATAAAAAGGCTGCGTGTGGAAATTCCTGAAGGTAATGAAGGCACAATGGTGGCAAAAAAAACTGATCTCCACTCATTTTGAGAGCATCCATGAACACAAATGTGTTCTTGAAACGGATATTAACTTTTTTTTTGAAGTTCCTTTTTACTTCAGAGCGTCCAAAAATGCTCAATTTAAAAGGCAGCACTTGGTTATATAACTAAGATTATATTCATCCCAACTTTTGACCTGAAAGTCTTGACTTCCTCATGCAAAAACACACACAAAACAATCATCTTGTAAGTACAGGTCGTAGAAAATTTGTGCAAATTATTGTTGTATATGAAACGTGGTGATATAGGCTGATACTATTCATTTATTCACTCATTTGAAACAAACAGTGTCTGCTCCACAAGGTTACAGCTAATGGAAAATTCATAAAGATATGCAGGTTCACATAAGAGAAAGTGTCAGGGAGTAAAATCTTCCAAAATGAAAGGCTGCTTTGCTTTTTGTATTCACCGCGAGGTGGTGAACCAGCTGTACGCCAACAACGGCGCCGATCAAAGACGCCGTTACAAGGACGAAACACGTGCGCAAACTGGGCTCCCCACAGATGTTCAGCGAGGTGCACATGCAGTATAGACATGAGCAACACGCCCACGCACACGCACACGCACGCGCACGCAGACATGTTTTCACACCGGAGCGTGAGTCACCGCTTATTGAGAGCAGCATCTCCCTACCAGAGTAGGCAGGAGGTAAATCAGAAGGCAAGCAGCCAGGGAGTCATGAGGGGCAACTCACACACACACCGACACACACACACACACACCGACACACACACTCCTCATCTTAAAAAGCACCCCCTCACTGACATATTGTCATATTTTGCTTTAGAAGTCTCATCTGAAAAACAAGCCGGGGAACTTTGCGATGCAGTTTCTTAAACTTTAAGCAGTCAAAGAGCCCAGACATATACCAGCCTTAGCCTAAGATAAACTCTTCACACACACACACACACACATGCACACACACACACACACTGCCTCGACGTGAACCTCACCCACATCTGTAGGTACCTTGAGAAAACTAATTTCAGATGGCCACTGGCCCTGAAACACTGAAAAGTGAATCACAAAACAGGGTCGACAGATAAAAGAAATTTGAGAGTGCAGTGGAGCTATTGAGACATTACGCCTCTTTCTATCAGCTCTTTTTCTTCCATGCACTCTTTTTTCTTGCCACATAAAAAGAAAGAAGTAATAGAGAAACAGGTGACCTGTAATATACCTTCAGTTCTGGTTTCGCTCTTTTATTCAGTGTTTTCTTTTCTCCTCCAATTTAAACGTGACCTGCAAAATATTTAATCGCAAAAAGAAACGGAGCACATTTGGTCTTTTGCAAACGCGTCTCACGTGCTTGTGCAGCTCGTTTATTTGTTGGGTAAAGAGCTATGAACTCTGATGGATACTGGTCGCTTTCATGCAACTCGAGGAGCGTGTTGGCAGAAAACAGAGAACCAGGAAGCCCAGCATTTGGAAGAAATCTTTGAGAGAGGATGCAGAGGTAGCGCTGCGCTCATTGAAATCACGGC